TGTAAAAAAGATAATTTTTTACATTAAGATATTTTAGGTTTAGTTAATTTTAATTCCATTAAATTTTAGTAAGTATTCATCATCCAAGTTGGCATCAAGGAAGCATTCGAATTTATTCAGCTTATCGAGCATTTACAACTGATAAATTGGATGCTATTCTTGGTATACGTATGGGTCTCAAACATCTTAACGTGACCCTTACAAGTACGTTTAAAAATTTGCAAAAAATTCTGATCATTTTTTTTAAACTCTTTAAAATGAAGTCAAAAATTCTCAAAATCATAAAATGTAATTAGATTAAATCATAGATGAATTTTTGCAAATTTTGCATATTTAATTTTAACTTTAAAGCTTTTACAAATGGAGAAGTTTGCAATAATTAAAGGTTATTTCTTGTAATATTTCCGCCATTAATATTTTATCTTTGATTGGAAGTGACATTTTTAGACTGTCAGAAATGGAGCGAATAATTGATTATTTTACTAAAACTGCTTCATTTACGCATATTCTAAATGCTAAGGAAATAATGAATTCTTATAATGTAATTAATTGATTAATTAATTGCTTCAGGCGTGCAGACATCTGGAAAAGAACAACAATCGTTGAATGATTTAAAATATAATGAACGCTTTGAATTTTTAAATGGTTTGTTATTTATATATTGAGTGCTGAAATTTTTTATCAAAATTAACAAAATTAATCTGCTTGAGTTTGAAAATTCATTTTTTTATTAATAACAATATATTACGATAGAAATGGTCTATAATCAATTTTCTAAAGTGCATTTAAGACTAAACTATTTAATCACTTAAAAAATTTATGTATAATGTCCATTCTTTGTATTTTATTCTAATGGAATAAATTTTTATTCTATTCATAACGAAATCTAGGGCTCATTTACTTTCGCAATTTTTCATGATAGGCTCCTTTTTTTGAATATATGTAAGGATTAAAAAATTTTGAATGAATATCATAATCGACCTAAATTTTCAAATTATGTAACTTCTTAATTGATATAATAATGTTAGCAATCGTAAAGTGCATAATCGCAATTTATCAATTTTTTTCATGTCATAAAATTTTATTGTAACACAATTAAAAAATGTGTATTAAAAGTTTTTAAGTATAATATTTTAAAAAAAAAATGAATTTTGCAGTATTTTCGATGGAGATGGAATTGGAGAAAAGTTTAAAAAGGGGTTTACCATATCCAATACTGAAAGTAATCGAATATTTAAGTGTAGATCGAGCAGGATTTGTTTGGGGTAGGCAATATCGTCTCACCGGTCATTATACCGTATATTTGCTATGGTAGAATTATTCATAAATTTTATTTTTATTCATTAAGAAATTATAAATATTGATTCTGATGCAAACGAACTAAATCATTTTTTTTTTGATAACAAGTAAATTTAGCAATTAAATTGTTCGGTGGCGGTTTGGAATTTTTTGACCTTAGATTTTGCAAAGTAACAAAATAGGCGGAATATAAAATTAAGGTTTATTCTTAATTTTAGTACTTCGTTTAGAACTTCAATATTTCTATCATTTGCAATTTTCCTCGTTTTACTCTCATAAATTTTATAACAACTAATTAGGCATTTCGAAAAAGTATTAGCGATAATAATAGTTAAATTGATGAAGTAAATAACGAATAATGATTGCGGATAATAATAGTTAAAAATCAGTTCAGTAAAAGCGACAATTAATGATAAGTTAGCCAACTGCAAAAGTGCACAAAATCTTCTTTCCGCAAAATTTTTAATTCTTTATTTGTAAAATTTTTTTATGCAAAAAGAAAACAAAAAACAACGAAGAAAAAAGACGAAAAATAAATTTTTGTTTAATTTTCAGGACAGCGTTTGCTTTTTGGATTATTCAAATTTTAATGTTATGTTTGGTGCCACATAATTTTGCTAAAGTAGTTGTCATTGTTGGCGTGCTAATTCTATTAGCTGATTCTGTTTATTTTATTTTTGTGCCGAAAAATCTTCAAATAAGATTTCCATCATCAGACGGATCAATGTCAATTCTTGATTTTCACCTTTCGACTTGCTTTTATGCAACATTAACTGCCGGTTAGTGTTAACGCTTAGCCTTTTATTTATTCTTTTTTTTTAGAAAATTATCTCAAAAATTTTCAATTTTTTATTTTAAAATGAAAAAAAAACGGTGAAAATTTATTGCTAGAAAAAAGATGAAGTTTTTGTTCATGTTAGTATTTAAAATTTTTTATTTCTTTAATTAAATACAATGATGTAGTAATTATGTGAAATTATCATGATAAAATTTGTAATATTAAAAGATGCATTATTGATTGATGTCAACAAATTACAGGTATCACAAGTTTAGTTTATGGTGGAATATTGCTAATTTTACAAGCGAAATCATTGTATACATTGAAGACATTTATCACTTGTCATGCTGATCAGCATTGTTGCAAAATAATGAAATGTGAGAATAGCACGATATTATCACTTACGCCACCAAGTTCGATGTCAACAGTTCCAACTGAAACAACAGCGGATAGTTTAATTAAACGAAATACATTTACCGGAATGTTATCTTCACCACCGGAAAGATTTTAAAAACTTCGAAAGAAAGAAATATTCGTTGTTTTTTTTTTCCTTGCCGAAAATGAAGGAAACGGGATATTACTTGCCGGGTTCATTCTTAATTTCGTTTATTTATATCATTTCATCAAATGTTCTCACGTATATTTCCACCATATGATCTGTGTATTATGTATTAATCATTATGTAGTTATTATGTATTAATTTTCCTTTTCATTTTTTTTTTAAATTTGTTAAAAAAAATTTTTCAATTGAATTGAGTCATTACAAACAGAAATGTAAAAGCTATGAATTGATGCTATTTTAAGAAGGATTGCTGTAGAGTTAGAAATTCTAATTGGAATTTTTACTGAAATTTTAATAGATTGAATGTGCAAGTTTTCATATCTATAACTTCAATCTTGTTCAGTGGAAGGGTCGATTCACTTAAATCGTGGGGTCAGGTGATTTTTCGAGGTTAAGTTTTGTTAAGTCATGTAGTGATGTAAGAAAACCGATTATTTCTGACTTCGAAATTTATTAAAAATTAAATAAAAATTACGATTAATTTCATAATATTCATTCTAATGCCTGCTACTTTTCCAAGGATGATTGTTGAAAAATTTTTACATGAGAAAAGTTTCATGTTAATATGTAATATGCAAAAGTATCACTTGTCATAGTAAAAGAACCTGTTTATATATTAAAAGTTTTCTTGAGATAAAATATAGGAATTAAAAAACTTGAATTTTTAAAAATTTTTGTGTAAATCAATGAATTGTATTAAAAAAATTCATTAATTTATATTTCTCCAATGTTAATTATTATTCATTTTTAATATATCATTATTATATCTCATTATTATACATCATTATTATATCCTCCGTTTTTATTTTGAAATATATTTATAAATCGATAACTCGAACAGGTAATTTTTTTTTTTTGCTAATGATTATAGTATTCATTCGTTTATACCGGTATTTATCGAAATTGTTCAATGTTTTTCATGAAAATAATTACTGTACACATTAGATGGATGGATAAATAGAAAAAGACATTATTATTCTCTTCTTTTTCATCAAAGAGAAATCACTTCTGATTATCAGTTATTTCATTTTTACTTATCAATTTACCCGTGTATTACTCTCACGTAATATACAATGTGCCATCATCTTTTATGCCATTTTCAATTTTTTTTCTTTTTTTCAATTTTACTAATTGAATAAACAAATTGTATTTCTTTCTACACAATATATGTCCTTTTTCATGCAAAGAAGAAAGAAAGATTGCATCAATTTTAATTCCAATTTAATCATTTATATTTTAGTATTCATTAGTGAAATTTTCACTGCAAATGTTTTCTAACGGATTTAGTGGTTGTTGTATCATTTTCGCTATCGAGTAGGAAGGAACGGAAGAAAAGTAAATAAGTAATTTGTTCAAATTTTCTAATAATGAGTAGGTGTGAATTATTCAGTTTCAAATTAATCACAAGGTGAAAGTTCATATGATAAA